ATATATATATATATATATATATATATATTTATATATATATATATATATATATATATATATATATATATACATACATACATACATACATACATACACACACACACACACACACATACAAACATACATACATTTATAGTCAGAATTATTGCCCCCCCCCCCCCCCTTTGAATTTTATTTTATTTTTTTTTATATTTCCTAAATGATGTTTAACAGAGCAAAAAAAGTTTTCACAGTATGTTTGATAATATTTTTTCTTCTGGAGAAAGTCTTATTTGTTTTATTTCGGCTAGAATAAAAGCAGTTTTTAATTTTTTAAACACCATTTTAAGGTCAATTTAGCCCCTTTAAGCTATATATTTTCTCGACTGTCTACAGAACAAACCATCGTTATAGAATAACTTGCCTAATTACCCTAGTGAAGCCTTTAAATGTCACCTTAAGCTGTATAGAAGTGTCTTGAGGAATATCTAGTCTAATATTATTCACTGTCATCATGACAAAGAGAAAATACATCAGTTATTAGAGATGAGTTATTAACACTATCATGATGAGAAATGTGTTGAAGAAATCTGCTCTCTGTTAAACAGAAATTGGGGGAAAAAATAAACAGTGGGTGAATAATTCTGACATCAGCTGTATATATATATATTATCATAATTATTTGGGGGTTTTCACCTTTATTGGACAGGACAGAGTATCGACAGGAAAGCATGGGGAGCAGAGAGAGGGGGAGGATCGGCACAGGACCGCGAGGCGGAATCGAACTCAGGTCGCCGTGAACACCCGATTGAATGAGTTTTGCATGACAGGTGTCTTTTCAATTCTAAATGTGCACAGTTCTGTTCAATTCTGCCGTGTGAAAGCTCCAGAAAAACAAAGTGTGCTTCAAATACACACAATGCAATTATATTAAAGACACCATATTTTGGGTTTTTGAAAATTCCCCTCCATGTAGTGTGTAACACAGCACTGAGTGAAGTAAAGTATCCAGCTAAGGCTTAAATCTGTAAGTGTACAGTGTTTAAAACGGTTGATTCATCTATAAAAGAGTCGACTCATAGTGCTTCAAACAAGTCGTCTGGATAACGAGTCATTAGGAGTTTCGCCATGACGTGATATTGAAACCAAGTTATTCACACGCACGCGCAAACCCGGGAGATTTGAAACCTGCAGCCCCGCCCTCTAACACAGAAACCCACACACACACACACACAAACACAAACACACACACGCCGGTCGATTGAAGTCACACTGCAGATGGATATTATCGAGTCTCTACCCAAAGATGAAACCTCAGCATTATAGCCCAGCCTTGAGCAGTTTGCGAGCTTCTGGAAACTACATGCTACAAAGAAGACTTCATCGGCCGTTTATTAACGGAAGGATCAGTAAAGAGTACTGATATGGACTATTCAGGACATGGATCGGTTCCTTCCTCCATTTCTCAAGTTTTAGTATGTGTAATTAAAGTTGTTGCCTCGTTTGTGATTTGTTATTTGTAACCGCGTGTACTGTATCAGGTTGACTCGCTATATTCTCATATCGCGTGTAAAGCCACGTTGAAAACGCGACATGTGCTGCTTTGTTTACGGAGGAGGGTAATGTGTGTGTGTGTGTGTGTGTGTGTGTGTGTGTGTGTGTGAGAGAGATTAAAGAGCAGTGTGACAAGCTAGGAGATCTCCTGGCCAGTTCTTGGAGTTTTTGCTCAATAAAATAGTTAGTCGTCTGTATTTTCAAGTCTATCGTCTATATTTACATTCACCCACTGACAGCTGAAATCCCCGCCTTACACTATGAAGCGTGTATGCACTGTGACTACTTCTATATTGCTGATTAGCTGCTGGGCATTTCACTCTGTCTCGCGCTGAAGGCAGTCACTATCGACCAATAGCAGCAGACTGTCATCGGTCCAATCAGCGCAGATTAGCTTCGTGCTAAGGAGGGGTTTGGGAACAAATGAATCACTGGACGATTCATATGGGAGTCGCTGGGATAATCAGGTAAAAATAAATGCTGATTATAAGATAATGAAAGTGTTTTGACCTTGCATGCATATTAGACTGTTGTTGGAGACCCTTACAACTAAAATATGTCCCTATTCCATGTATAATAGGGGCTCTTTAAAACGATAAAACAACAACAACAACATAAAGATGGTGAGGGGTGGATCCTTCATGAGCTCAATAACACACAGAGCAGCACAAAAAAGGAAAATACAATGCAAACTTAAAGTGTTTGTCCTGTTTCTAGATCAAATATTCACACATTCTTACTGTAAATCAAGGAGAATTTTCTAGACAAGCAAAAATACTGTCTTGTTTTCATAAATAGTGAGTCAAAATAATAAGTGAGTTCTTAACCAATGGTGTGACAAACTCAAAGCAAAACCAAGATTACTGTTCTTAGCCCATTGGCAGATTATTTAGCTTGTTTTAAAGGGCAGCTATGATGAAAATCCTCTTCTGTGGGCTGTGTGGACAGAGCTGTGTGTAGTATGGTGTGTCCACAGTCATATTGTCCTGATAGAAACACAATACGTCTCTTATTTTACATTTCCTAGCATTAAAATAGGATCCAGCTCCCTCCCATTGTGAGGCTGACCACAATGTGATGTAGGAGTGCGGTTTCCCCGCCCACCGAATTGATTGACAGCCACATATTAACATGTCTTCATAGTCACGTGTATAATTATATCAATAAGACAAGACATGCGCAAAGCAGCCGGGATAAAAGATCGTCATCAAATGTGATTGTGAGTGAGTTTCACAAGTTTACACATGTTTAAAACAGTGCATGTGTGTAATGCATTACAGTGATTTATTTCAGCTTTACTTCATTAGCCCAGCACATGTCAGAACAGTCACGTCCCATTCACACGGGGCTTCAGCGTCAACGCTTGACTGAAGGCGTGTCTGAAGTTGGGGCTGAAGAGATCGTCATAGCAGCGTCAGCCAGTGAAATTAGTCAGCAATAGGCCACTGTCTAGCTGGTGTATTTGCATTCAGCGATCTGATTGGCTTATGCTTCCATCGGTGCTTGAAAAGTTTAGCTAGTCCCAACTTATGCAGCAAGCAACACCTCTGAAGCGGCGCTGACGGATCCACAATGCAGTTCAGCAACGCTTGACGTCACCCATTCAAAGTGAATGGGAAGCATTGACGCTGACGCCCTGTGTGAATGGGGCATTATAAAAGAAGACGCTTCAATCCCGGTTTGTGGACGTTAAATCAGGTTTATTTTGTACATTAATATAATGGATGTCCATATAGCAGTGGAGATTAACCTGTATCCTGTCACATTTGCTGTGCAAAACAGAGCAAAGTTAAGCACGCACGATGTGTGTGTGTGTGTGTGTGAACTTTGTAATGTCATTATGTGAGACTCATCGTTGCAGAAAGGCTTGAATTAACTCCACAACAAATACATAAAATAATCATTGGGAAAGTTCTTACTGTAGTTTTTCTCAGAGACGTTGCGTCACTGATGTCTGTTACTGTGCTGTTTATCTTTGATTAACATTGAGATCTAGATTGAGGCACACTCTGACAGGCACGGGGGAACGGTGGGCAGGGGGAACCAGCATTAAAGGCACAGACCACAAAACAGCTACATGATGCTCAGAGCTGCAAATTTAACATTCTGATACCTCTGATCAATAATCTGACGGGTGTTTAAGCTGAAACTCTACAGACACATTCTGGAGATGCAAAAGACTGATATTAAATCTGGAAAAAGAGGTGAAGTGGGTGCCCTCACTGAATTAAAAACCCACTTAATTTTGACTCGTAATACGTAAACCGTTCATTAACAGATATTGTATTGCAGTGTTGTTCAGGGTCTGGAGTGGAAACCAGCGGCTCGTCCTGCTGTAATGTTACTTACGGCCAGATCCTGCACTAGATTCTCCTCAAACGAGTACATCTCTGCCTCTATCCAGAGCCGCTGGTAACCGGTGAGGAACAGGTTAATACAGCGATGCCTGGGAGAGAGCAGACAGGGTTAGCATAGCAACCGGTTACCGGGGTCAGGCTGGGAAACAGGAAGTGCTGGAGGGTTAGTTAGTTGGTCAGTTTGTTAGTTAGTTAATCTGACTGGTCATCTTGTAAGGTCTGCATAGTTAAAATGTTTTTATTTTTCACTCATTTATTTTTATGAAGCAGAAAATATAATAAATAAATAAACAAATAAATATAATGAATCAATAAATTTTAAGAAAAGAATGAACAAATGAATAAACATAAATAAAATAACTTTATTAAATAATTAAATAAATATATATATAGTTAAATAAATATAAATTAATAGATAAATAAATACAAACATATTTTGTAATATTTATTTTACATAAATAAAATTGATGAAGGAATAATTTAACAAAAAATTTATTAATAAATACAAATAAATAAACACATAAAAAATAAAAATAATAAGTAAATTAAATTAAATAAATTAGTAAATATGTAAATAAATAAATGAGTGAAATTAATGAAAGAAAAAAATATGAGAAATGAATTAAATACAATAAAGTAAATAATAAATACAAATAAATGAATAAATAAAAATTAGAGGTGAATTTACTTAAATAATTAAATATTAAATTAATATTAATGAATTAATAAAATTTAAATTAATAAAAATATTTAAATACATAAATATACAAAAATAAAATGAATAAATGAAATATAAATAAACAATAAGTAAATAAATAAATAAAATTATTGTTTACAAAAAATACATACATGTATTATGAATGAATTAATTTTAAGAAAAGAATGAACAAATGAAGCAACAGATAAATAAAATAACATAATTAAATAAAAATAATTAAATATACAAAAAATAAAAATAAATAAAATTAAATAAATTTAATAAAATATAAATTAATTAATACAAGAAATAATAAAATTAATGAAGGAATACATGAATAAAATAAAATAAATAAATAAAAATAAAAATGTAGACAAAAAATGTAATACATAAATAAATAAAAACAAACAAATAAATAAAAATAAATGAATGAATGATTGAATTAATAAAATTAATGAAGGAATAAGTTAATGAAAAAATAAATCAAATAAAAGGAATTAATAAAAAATAAAATCAATAAGTAAATTAAATAAAAAGAAATAAATGTGAAAAAAATGAATAAATGAATCAGGAAAATGAATGGAGAAATAACTGTATTAAAAAGTCAAATAAATGATTGAATAAATACAAATAAATTAATAAATAAATAAAAAATTGAAATAAATGGAATAAAATTAATAAGCAAATTTACTTATTTAATAAATAATAAATGAACTAATAATTTAATATCAATAAATTAAATGCATTTAAATTAAAAAAATATATAAATACATAAATAATTAAAATGTATAAATATATGAAATAAAGATAAACAAGAAAATAAATAAATGAAGTTCATGAACAACTGAACAAACGAATTACTGAAAGGGAGTTAGCAGATCAACAATGTAAGTCTACAATAAAGGTTTTGAGTTTTGAGCGTCTTCAAACTTGAGCATCTCAGATAACCCGTCAGATAGATAGCTAGTTAGTTAGCTAGCTAGTGTGTTACCGTCAAAACCATGGCTCAGAAACAGGGGGGATTCGAGAGCAGAGCAAGCGTTGTCTGAGCGTTACGTTACCGTTAGCACAGCCAGCAGACTGTCAGAGTCGCAACGCTCATGAATTCTGCCCAGCCAAAAGTGACGGTAGGAATTCAGGAAGTAATTGTTAATTTTGTGCCTGAGAACAGTGACGTGATGTGGAGAAGAAGAAAACACAAGAAATAATAAAGACAGAGAAAACAACATCACAATGCTTTACCTAAATCAAATAGCACAATAATTAAACAGCACATTTAATATGCTATATAAACACACGCATGATTCCAGAACTGCAGGTACATTCTGTGTCTCCAAGATAATCGTATTTTTTTCATGAACAAAAACGTCGATGAAACTG